TGTTTATTTGTACGAAAGGCCAGTGTAACTTTACATAATTAAAGATTGTGCATGATCGACCAGATGCAAGACATTATAACGCATAGTTCAAAGCGCACCTAGACTCGCTTTCATCTACAGATACGTCTGTCTATATGTATCCATATAGGTGTCTGGCAGTCTTTGCTAGTCGACACATTCCATATGCCTGACTGCACGCTTGTCATGCGAGTACTAGCTATTCGATAAGCTGCTATCAATTGCCGCCCCTTTGGCACTGATAAGCTCTCTTTTTGATAAGCTCGCAGCGGAAATAGAATCATTTACATAACGGCCAATTCGAATGACAGTCGCTGGCCACGCGGTTGACGATCGGCGCTCGAATAATTGAGCCACGTTCAACACTTGCCGAGGCGGCTTAATGATCAATGAGCAATCCCAATCAAGCAATGAATGCTATAGAGTATGCTCGACTGGGGTATACACTGCAATCAAAAATATATTTGAGAAAAAATAGTATTTCAGGGAAATAGACAAAACATGGAGAATGGATAAAAGTTATTCATCGCGTTTATATCTACAAATATTACAATAATAGTACATAATAATGGTTTATATTTTACTACAATCTGTCAGCCTCACGACTCACGTCTAGGGAGAGCTCACTACCAGACATAGGTATCCAGGTATCTGTGCTCTGTACCACATCTCCAACTCATTCTCCGTCACATGCTCGTTCGCAAGCTACATCACCTGTCTCAGTCACATACAGGGTATACAAGTCATGCAAACAGTTAGCAAACAGCTTGTCTTTCCCAGTACCCGACACAGGTATCCAGGAATCTGTGCCCTACTCTGCCCCGTTTCCCGCTCTACTACACGCAGCTAGACAACATCGCTGTATACAAAGTTGTGTTTATTTACTTGAAACGTTGAAACGTTCATGTTTGTCATTCGCGTTGCAATAACTTTTACTTGGAGGCATCTGCAACTCGGCGTTCCCAGCTGCCCCGCACACATAATAAAGTATAAGGCAACGTTTACATAAAAATTTATGCCCATGTCGAGTTCAAGAATTTAGCGCCTGTTTAGTCTTGCCAGCTAATTGATATACGTCTGGGCCGCATCGCAAACAATTCTGGGTGTAAATTGAAGTTAATTTGAAAGCTGCAATTGCATTGCGCAGCACCAGATCTCACCGAGAGTGCGTCCAATGAAAATTGAAAGTGTTTTGTGCTGAAAAATTGAAAATGCTAAATTTTCTATTCGCATTTGATTCCAAGCAGATGTGGACATTATTTTAAATGGATTTTCGACAGTTATGTGTGCCATATATGTAAGTTTGGCAAGCAGTCAAGTATTCTCAATATATTTATCACAATCACATTTGCTTAACTGGCGCCTCTCTCAGTGGGCGTCTTTATGGTACGCGCTCTTCTTTGCGGTTCTCACCACTGAGTTTGCCTGCTCAGCGCTTCTCGCAATAGCGTGTATCAATCAAGACCCCACCCTGCACTTATCGTATTGACATATATTTCTCCAGCTAGACTGCGCCTCTCTCGGTGCTACCCATAATTGAATGTTACATTTACTAGACATCTCCGCACTGCTCATGCTCTGCTCAGCGCCTCATTCTGAGATTCCTAGAATTGTATGAGCATGTTCTGCGCTCTTCTTTGCGATTCTCACAGTCAACCTGGTCTGCTCAGCGCTACTCACCAATCAAGACCCCTTATCGCTTATCACAGTCAAAGTATGTATAGCAACCCTCGCACTCTGCACTACTCACAGGCACCTATGACTTCAGCACCTCTCTCTGCGCTTCTCACGCAATACAGTTTGTCATCACATTCTATTGGCTCTCCGTTTGGCACATCGATAAATCGCTTGAAATTGAATTACATCCACAAAAAGCAACTGAAACATTGACCTACTTAAAGCCAAGTCTGTTGGCCATTTAATGACGTCAGCGGCAACGTCAAGTTTGCCGCCTTAGCCAGTGAAAAGTGCAGCGGAAAATGTGTGAAGCTATTGATTTTCTCAGTTTTCACTAGATCAACCCTCAAGGCTTAGATTGCAAATCTTGAATGAATGAATGTCTACCTGATGAATCATCGAGAAAAAAGTATTCATAAGCAAATGCAATTTGCATGCGAATAGACAGCGAGCAATTAAACAAAGGCTTAGTCAGCAAACGTGTTGCTAGCCTTATTTATTTATGGCTCTAATACTTTACTCAATATTTGAATCTAAATGATTCACATAGTTGTAGAAATAATAATAATTTAGCTACAAGCAAATTGTGTAAACAACAAAGCAACAACAACAATAATTTATTGAGAATCTTTTATATCTCTTTTTTTTGGCGGCTTTTCACATGGAACTTTTTGTATATTGATGACGCCATGTGGAATAATATTCGAAATACTAAGCAAAAATCGAAAAGCATCGACAATCACAATGAATAACGACCTTTTGTAGTGTGAATGCGTGAAGGCGACGAGCGACAAGCGACAAACGATGAGCATTTAAATGTATTTTTGTATATTCGTATATTCGTATATTTGTTATATAGATATTCATAGCACAGACTAGTTCCGAATTCCGTAAAACTTGTTAGGGAGCGGCGGGAGTGTTTCGACTAGTTTCCGATAAAAAAAAAACATGCTTCTATATTTCGGCTAACGAATTATGCTAAGTGATGCAGATCTATTGGCGAATAACAAATTTTTATTTTTAAAATTAAGTAATTCCTACATATTCTGTATCAAATTGAAGCTTAGACCGGAGACTGTTCAAGTATTTGGTGGTTGTTCAATGCCTATTTTTCCACTTGAAACCCTTTAAGCCCCCAGCAATTCTATAAATTTTAAATACGTAATAATAAAACTTTATGTATGAATAAGAAAAAGCACATGAACAAAGTAGTTCATTGATCCCTAGAAGCTCACTCATTAAACAGAAATTATAACAACTTTATCGGACTGTCAGCTTTCAAATGTCTACCCAAGCAGATCTGTATGTGGGATATGGAGATATGTATATCACATACATATGTTGCTTTGTCTGTGCTATCGTCTCTCTCTCTCTGTGTGTAAGCACTTTGCCTCAAGCAATTTCTATAACCTCATTAGGCAGTCGGCATATTTTTATTTTGGCTGGCTGTCAATCATACGCTACGTGGGCGGCACCCACAACCAAATGCCACAGGTGGTGAGAACGGGCAGAGTAGGGGGTAGAAGGAACTGAAATCGTAGAAATCACATAAACAGTGTGCTAAGCGGCTTGCTGACTGCCCTTTGTCGAGATTCCGATTCCAATTCCAATTTGAAATGTGACCCGTTGTGCTAAAAAGTCAACAAGCGTGCTAAACGCTTCTCTCGCCCCTTTTCATTGGAGTTCAGTAGTTCAGCAATGGGGCAACATAATCATCTCTGAGCAGCTCTTAGCTCGTCTGTCTGTCTGGCGCTGTGTCTGCCTTTTTGTCTTCGGTCTGTGTCTGAGTTGTCACATTGTGACCCAAATCTAGACACCTCTATAAATAAACAGTGAAGAAAACTTAAGTAAAAACATGTGTTGACTGCCGTTTGGCCCAAACAACCAGCTAAACAAAAACCAACAACAACCACAATAAATACTAATATTAAGTCCTATTGTTTTTATAGTTTATATATATATATATATATATATACATGAGTTCAAGCTGCGGGCCAAAACAATACTGTGTGTTGTTAACAATTTCTCTATTTTGGCCGGACTTGTCTTAGAGATTTTATTTTTTTTCTATGCCACATGCCAAGAGTAATAACATCGGGTATACTAGACCTAATGTGATATAGAGAGATAAATATTGTTTGTTAATTACCTATATAGAAAGGTAAAATATAGATTAAATAGAAGGCGAGGCTGTTATCGAGCTAACAGCAATCGTTATTTATAAAAATACAAAACTTTTGCAAATATTTCTGTCTTTTGTAGCTTCGCTTTAAGATTGGAAATTAGTCAGAACTGTTTTGCGGGGTATCTTCTAGTCGAGCACTCGTACACATTCGCTTTTCCTACTCATTTGTTAATTTCTTACGTTTTGTTTCGGCAGTCAGCTGTTAAGTAGGCGGGGCCAACGCCCAACAAACAGCTTTGTAACCAGCTCACCTGTTGCACACAGTTTTCTCGTTGCTATTTCCCTTTTCTTGCTTTTGTTGGCAAACTTAGTGTGCGGCTTTTCTTGTTGTAATTTCGTATTTGTAACGGTGTAACATGCTTACAATTTCCCAATATCTACAAGTGTTGCACGTGTAGTTACAGTGTAGCTTGGGAAATGAGCTACTTTTTGTAGGCCAATTAAATAAGACTTAAAATTGAATTTGAATTGGTTACTTAGTTGATATTCATTTAGTTAAATATTTATAGTCGCCAACGACTAAATTTTGATCTTATTTGATTGTATATAGCCTGGGCGAAATGTAATATGATTGGAAATTACCTTTCTTACTTTTGAGTTCCTTTTTACTATGGGTTGCGGGTGTAATGAATAAAAATATATTTAAATATTGTAGATTTAGTAAGCCTCCGATATATGTATATTTATCTATAGCTAGTCTTTGCCTCTTGCATTTTGGCCAAGTAACCTAGATTTGGACCAATTGCATTTAGCGACTGTCGATCTAAATCTTTTGGCGCCTACTTAATTGCACACAAAGTAAATAAACAATGCACCCACGAGCTTTGCACTCTATCAAATGGAACACGAATTTAATCAATATGAACAATAACAAAAATACACAAAGCAAATTAATCGAATCCAACTGAGCAGCACCTGTGGCTAATCCAACTCCGAAAAGAATGAATACAATCAACAAAAGGAAAACTTCAATTTGGTTTGTTGAAAAACAAATTGAGAATTGAATTAGACAGGTGCACGGCGGGCAGTCTAGTTTCGATGCACTTGAGATCTGGGGAATATTTAAATGTATAATTTGATTTCGATGCACCAAATACTAATCCAAGTCTTTTGCTTGCAGCTATCAGGTTGGCTCCATTTACACATACATCGGTGAGGTGTGCGTCTCGATGAATCCCTACAGACAAATGAACATCTATGGCCCGGAGACCATACGCAAGTACAAGGGTCGCGAGCTGTTCGAGAATGTGCCGCATGTGTTTGCTGTCGCAGATGCTGCATACAGGGTGCTCAAGCAGCGCCACCAGGACACATGCATCTTGATCTCAGGAGAATCGGGTGCCGGCAAGACGGAAGCCTCCAAGATCATCATGAAGTATATTGCCGCAGTGACGAATGCACAAGGACAAAATGAGATCGAAAGGTAAGTGTAATGAAGTGGGATACATAAATAGAACTGGTATGTAAATTAACTAGTTCAAAAGTCGGTGAACTTCAATGATTGAAAATTATAGATGAATAAAGAACAAGTTTATATTGCTTCAATTTGCAAGCTAGATTAGGTTTCCAATGACTCCAATATATTGAACTAGTTTCCGAACATATGTTAACCATTTCATTAGAGATCAAGATTCATCATTTCTGATAGAAACTAAATATATTTTTAATCAAATAGTTAAAAATTTGGTGGAGTCCTAAGTGTGAACTAGTGTTCAGTTCACTGACAAGAATCTGTTGCGTATGAAAATGAATAGATAATTTATTCATTTGAAATCTGAACTAGTTCTGAGTATACTAACTGTTCGTATGTTTTTTGTTTCATAACTCAACCCCTAATCTACGACAAGTTCATGGTACGAACTAGATATTATTATGCAATTATGCAATTATCAAAAATGATGCAAACAAGATTCTCGATTGGTTGATGATGCATTATAATTAGAACTAGTTCAAAGTCATGGGCTAATGACAAGCCCAGCTCACGTTAAGTTAACTGTATTACAATGCGCACAACAAGTCCCCATTAGTATGGAAATATTTAAGTTCGAGATGCAGCCTGAGGCTGGGAACCAGCATTTGAATGGGAAGCAGCGTAGCCGTAACCCACGATTGAAGAGAAGGCCAAGGCATGACAAATTTGCCATTGTGTGGCATGCAAATGCGAAACGAAACTCTCACTAGAGTATTCCCCAGATCGTGGCACAGAGAGGGTATACAGGAGCGCTTTCCTTGAACTGTGAACCTCATATGACATCACTCAGCGAATACGACTCTTCAATAAACTGTACGAAATTAAGTGAGCCGCTAATTGCTCACGCTTTCAGCTCTACGAAAGCATTTGGTCGTAATCGTTCCACGGCAATTTAAGGGCGACCCATAAAAGACAACGGGCCAGAGGAGAGGAGGAGAAGACCTTGATGGAGCGTTGTCTTTGCCAAACCCTAGACAAAGCCAAAACTTAATTGCCACTTTGCCAATTTTTAGTGTCTCCAAGTTAAAACAATTTAAAATGACATTTATTTAGTGGTTGAGCTGGGGGATTAGTGCCATTTAGTTAATTACTTTTTTGGTATGGGTCCAGCCCAATAAAATGCAATTATAATAAATGATTTCTGTTTCCTGCAGAGTGAAGAACGTGCTCATACAGAGCAATGCGATATTGGAGACTTTCGGCAATGCGAAGACGAATCGCAACGACAACTCTAGCCGATTTGGAAAGTACATGGACATCGAGTTCGACTATAAGGCCGATCCCGTGGGCGGCATTATAACCAACTATTTGCTGGAGAAGTCGCGTGTGGTGCAGCAACAGCCAGGGGAGCGAAACTTCCACAGTTTCTATCAGGTAAGACGCACATTGAATGCCTACATTGCTGTGTGTGGGCGTGGTGTTGTTTGCCCAGGTGAGTCAGCGGGGTGGCCAAGGCAGGTGGGCAGGTCACAGTCGCGGTTTGGTGTGAGCTGCGAGCTGTGAGCTACGAGGCGCGGCTCTATGTAAACAATATACATAGACAATAAATATTAGTAACTTTTTTATATTTACTTAGAAGAGTATCCAATTGCCTATATGCCCAACCATAAATATTTATGACATGAATCAGCGATTACAAAGCTATAAAATTCCAATAATAGCATATTAAAAGTGTATATTATAATAGGTTCATTGATAAGGCCAGAAGCTGTGGGCCCTTTATGCCCATTAAAACAGATGAATACACTTAGCGAAATCTTAAGCTAAGTGCACATGTCAAAGGTTAGGGCTCAATAAATACTCAACCATTCAAATGGAGGCTCAATAACTATTTAGAAATTAAGTTAATTGTTTTTGCCGTCGCGGTGAGCTCACAATCCATCAACTCAGTATAATTATGTGCATGTATATATAAATATATATTATATGTGTTCATGATATCATGTGAAATATATGAAAGTTCAGATAAGACCAAGGCATTCATTAGAGTTTGGAATTCGTCAGCGCTCAACGTCTTATTCATAATATTTTTGATTAAGAAAGACTCTTGCGCCTGACTTGGATTCAGAGTAAATAACTTTTTAACTTTTTAGAATGTGTAAAAGATATTTACAAATAAAAGAGAGAGAGATGAAAGGAATATTTGTATTCTTTAATTCATTCAGTGCTCAGGCGCACTACTATTTGTTGTAAAAAGCTGGTTATATATATACAATATATATACAATATTTTTTAGACATTACAAACCACTATAAATGGCTCGATAGATAGCTAATATTATATAATTTGTCTTCTATAGGCTCTAGTTTTCTTTTCGACTCGCCAAATATTACTCTCATTACTTTATACATACATTTTATATTGATATATAATATATAATCCCTCGCTGTTTGTGGAATTTTATCTACTCACTTCCTATTTGAAATTTTAGGCTTGTTACTATTGAAGAAATTAACGAAAAATTGAGAGATTGCTGTTTCTTCTGTATTCTGACTGTTAAACTTAGCTTGAAGGCGTTAATTGTTTCAGAACATTTATGGAGGCAAAGAATTTCCCGCTTTACTTCTCCATTTAACACCTAAACTAAGTAGAATTTCTTAATTGAGCGAAATTCTGCTTTGACTTCTCTAGCACAACTCTTCATTAAATTAGATATGTGGGTTTTGTCGGCATATGTTATGGTCTACTTATACTTATATTATAGATATATATAGATATCTTGAATGTTTTTTTTATTTATTTTTATTTATGAGATATCTGTGGCAACATTTTGCACCTGTTGTCTACAAAGTTTCGCCCAGTTATTGATTAGAGTTTCTTGGGAATAGAAATTCGGTAGCATTTGCTTTGTGCGATCTACTGTCTGAGAATGTGACTTCATTCTAAACTAAACTGTGAATTCCATAACGCATTTTCAGCAGCTCGCAAATGGTGACAATTAAAGCGGAAGTTCAATTATGGACAACATTTTGTTGCTAATTGTCTGTTGTACTAAATAGTTGAACATTCTGTTTTTGGATATAGAGACAAGTCAAACGTGAGCTTTGCCTGCGAGTATATTAAAGGGCATACGCACAGCTAGCAGTTCAGATATGAAATGTGAATGTATTGAAAGGTGTATAGCTCTTCATTCAAGGGTACACCTAGGAGTAGTTTCTAGATGAGCGCTATCAATATTAAGGAAAATACTCACATCTGTTGAGTTCCTAAATTAGAGTAAGTGATAAGCAGATACTAACTACACATTATCTTTCCAGCTGCTTCGTGGCGCCAATGACAATGAGTTGCGACAATATGATCTGTCCAAGGAGACGTCCAAGTATCATTATTTAAACCAAGGCAGCATGGACATACTCACCGAGAAGTCCGACTACAAGGGCACATGCAACGCATTCAAGACGCTCGGTTTCCAAGCGGATGAGGTGCAAACCATTTGGCGTACAATTGCCTCCATTTTGCATTTGGGCAATGTGGAGTTCCAAAGTGAGTTGACACTAGGGACCCCAACGAGGATGATGAATACTAATCTCTGCTTCTTTTATTGCAATCGCAGCCATTGAGGAAGAGTTGGTGATCACCAACAAGTCGCATTTGCAATCAGCTGCAAAGATGTTGCAAGTGACCGAAGCCGAGCTATTGACGGCATTGACTGAACGCACAATCGCAGCCGGTGGCAATGTGATGAAGAAGGATCACAATGCCACACAGGCGGAGTATGGCAAGGATGCGCTGGCTAAGGCCATCTACGATCGTCTCTTCACGTGGATTATATCACGCATCAATCGTGCCATACTCTTCCGTGGCAGCAAGAGCCAAGCGAGATTCAACTCAGTGATTGGCGTACTGGATATTTATGGCTTTGAGATCTTCGATTCCAATAGCTTTGAGCAGTTCTGCATTAACTACTGCAACGAGAAGCTGCAACAGCTGTTCATAGGTGAGTAGAATAATTAAACTAACTAGAGTAAAAGAGCTTAACAGATTTCCCTTCATTGCAGAGCTTGTGTTGAAGCAGGAGCAGGAGGAATATCAGCGCGAGGGCATCGAATGGACCAACATTGAGTACTTCAACAACAAAGTGAGCTGACGTACTAAGTTTTCAATTGGATTATATCTAACTCTCTCTTTTCTTAGATCATTTGCGATTTGGTTGAGCAGCCTCATAAGGGCATCATTGCCATCATGGACGAGGCCTGTTTGACTGTTGGAAATGTCACCGATGAAACCTTACTAGGCGCCATGGACAAGAGTTTGAGCAAGCATCCTCATTACACGAGCCGCCAGCTGAAGCCAACGGACAAGGAATTGAAGCATCGCGAAGATTTCCGCGTCACCCACTATGCTGGTGATGTCATCTACAACATTAAGGGCTTTATAGAGAAGAACAAGGACACGTTGTATCAGGACTTTAAGCGCCTGCTGCGCAACTCCAAGGATGCCAACCTGAGCGAAATGTGGCCGGAAGGTGCGCAGGATATAAAGAAGACCACGAAACGTCCTCTGACTGCTGGCACACTTTTCCAGCGTTCGATGGCGGATCTGGTGGCTACGCTGCTAAAGAAGGAGCCCTTCTACGTGCGCTGCATCAAGCCGAATGATCTTAAGAGTTCTACAGTATTCGATGAGGAACGTGTGCAGCATCAGGTGCGCTATTTGGGCTTGCTGGAGAATGTGCGAGTTCGTCGAGCCGGCTTTGTTCACCGTCAGCGCTACGATAAATTCCTGCTACGCTACAAAATGATCTCGCAGTACACGTGGCCCAACTTCCACGCGGGCAGCGAACGCGACGGAGTTCGAGTGCTAATCGAGGAGAAGGGCTTTGCACAGGACGTGAAGTATGGACATACAAAGATCTTTATTCGCTCTCCACGCACTCTCTTCGCCTTGGAGCAGCAGCGCAATGAGATGATACCGCACATTGTGACCTTGCTGCAGAAGCAAGTGCGTGGCTGGATAGCCCGCAAAAACTATAAGAAGATAAAGGCCGCGCGAACCATAATGCATGCTTACAAGACCTACAAGCTGCGCAGCTACATCCAGGAGCTGGCCAATCGCTTCCGCGTTGCGAAACAGCAGCGCGACTATGGACGCAGCATTCAGTGGCCCCAACCACCGCTCGCCGGTCGAAATGCCGAGGCCAAGCTTCACCGGATATTTGACTTTTGGCGTGCCTACATGATACTGCGCAAATATCCACGCAGTGAATGGCCGCAGCTGCGACTGCAAATCATTGCGGCCACAGCGATTGCGGGACGACGTCCATACTGGGGCCAGCAGCGCAAGTGGCTGGGCGATTATTTGGCTAACTCGCAGGACAACAGCGGCTACGATGCCTACACTGCTAATGTGCAGAATATGAAGAACGGGGAGAACTTCCGACAGGTGCTCTTCTCCAGCTTCGCCAAGAAGTTCAACAGGCGCAACAAACAGGCGGATCGCGCATTCATTGTGACCGATACAAACATCTCCAAGTTGGATGGCATCAAGAAGAAGTTCAAGGATATGCAGCGTTCCATGGCCATCAGAGAGGTTGGAAAAGCTGCCCTCACTTAGAGCCCGTAAATGCTAAATGCCTCTTTTCTTTCTTTTAGCTGACTTCCATAAGCATAACACCTGGCCGCGATCAGCTAATTGTCTTCCACTCACCGAAAAACAACGATTTGGTCTTTGCACTACAAAGCGAAATATGCACGCCCCTGAAGGAGGATCGCATTGGTGAATTAGTAGGCATTGTATGCAAGAAGTACCACGAGTAGGTTACTCTCTATATCCCCGTTATAAGCACATTATATGAATCCTTTTCGATTCCAGCATCACCGGCACGGAGCTGCGCGTAAATGTGGGCAGCAACATTGCCTGCCGGCTGGGCGAGAAGGCGCGCACAATTGTTGTCGAGGCGGCATCCAATGTGGAGGTTCCCAATTTCAGACATTCCGCTGGCAACATCATCTTCGAGGTACCCGCCTCGTATTGCGTTTAGTAAGCACATTTGGCGAGCTCCCTAGAGCATACAATGTAAATTTATTAGTAAGCGAGTTAGCTTAAGAGTCTGTTACCTTTGAATTACTCCACAAACCTGTGCATGCTGTGCCTTCTGTAAGCAATACGTAGTACTAGCACTCCGTTTTCTATGTGTTGAATGTTTTGGTGCTAACTGAGAATCACCGAGAAAGGCGCTGGTATTGGCAAGATAATTGTCAATGATTTGTACATTTTGCTATTAATATTTATATCAACTCCGGGAAGCTGGTTGAGCCGGCTTCCAATGGAAAGTATTAAATGTACTCTGTGCATTTGTTAACTTTAGATTTTAACCAATTCTTATACGATATAAATGTTTATATTAAAAGAAAACAAAGCCAATTCTTTAATGAAATATAAAAATATATTTAATCAAAGAGCACACAAAACGAGAAACCGCAAAGAACATTTCTTGTACTTAACAAAACAAATCTAATTTTGTACGTGTGCCATTTACACTTATTTCTTAAACCTAAACTTAACTCTAGAATTATTGTAAACTATTTAAATATATAAATATATCCACATACGTATGTACTATAAATAAAAATGTATAAAAAGTTAAACGACCGAGACCATTCTAATGCAATAGAAACAAAGAAATATTTATACAAATTTGTATATATTTTGTAAATGTTATATGGATATTCAAACTTATCAATATATATATAGATATAAGGTATATAACATCTTCGAGTAGGCTACGATATTAACAACTTGAATTACATAAATTGAAGAGCAACTTAAAAAATTAGTAGAACCCGTAACACTACAGCTTACACAATAAGAATCCTTTTTACGCCTGGCATTTTGAATTTCATTTTTTTTTTTTCAATTTTACTTTTTTCGTTTTATTTTTGTTTTGTTTATCGAGCTGTACTGGAAGCGAGCGAATATGGCAGCAGAATCGAATCCGCTGGGAGATTGGCATCAGATGATCGAGGCCTTGCCTCCTGTGGGCGAGCAGACGACTCGTCGAACTGCCATGCTGCGCTTTCAGCAGCGCAGTCCTGGACATGGACATGGACACAGACAGAGATATGCACGTGCGCAAAGGTACCTGCAGCTGAGGACCGACTCGGTGGTTCGAATGCGGCATCGCAAGCGTCGCCAGTGCTGCAAGCGCTGCCATCATTTGGTAAAGGCGAACAGGCGCTATAAGCGACTTGTGAGGTATCTACGTAGCGGACCCAATCGTCGCTGGGAGTCGCCTCCAATTGACCTACCCTCGCTACCATAAAATTCAAAGGACCTGCGTCTGTCTATTATAGTGTCCATTATAGTTTTCGAATTCAAATTTTGTGCAACCATGTCTGCTGATTATTAAAACTGAGTTTCCCTTGGCAGTCTTTATATAGTATATATGTATGTGTACATGTATTTATATGTGTATATGTATGTATGTGTGTGTGTGTGTGTGTGTGTGTTGTAAGTGTATGATCCGACCAAAATAAAGTGCGCCCAAGTGCTCGACGTCGACGTCCGCGTCGGTGCCGCCAATTGATAAAAGATAAAAATAAAGAGTGCGCATCGGCAAGAATTTTCTGTTTCTCGATCTCGATCGCATTTGCTTGTAAATTCTTGGCGAACGCGCAGCCAAAACGTTTCCAACTCGATTACATAAGGCAAGAGATGCAGAAAACGTTAAAAAAGGAGCTCAGCTTTTCGCTGGACACGCTGGAACGCTATCGCGCCAAATATGGACGCAGTGCCTCATTGGATACAAATGGCAATGGAACACAGCTGGAATCACACCCATCACAGATCTCTGACATGGGCATGGCTACAGTTATGCACACGGTTTCACCTCCTCCCTCGCTTTTCAAGCCGCAGTCGCCTCCAAAGCTGACCAAGCTACAGGAGCTGCAACAGAAAAAGGAGGCATATATGCGGCAACGTGAACATGAGCGGGAAATGGAGCAGCTGCTGAAGGCAGCCGACAGAGCCAGCAGCCAGGACAGAGCCAGAGCCAGCAATATCAACAACAGCACCAGCGCCAGCACCAGCTCCAACTCCATATCCCACACCACCACCACCACCACTTCCACCACTCCCACCACTCCCACCGCAACTTCAGCTAAGACCAGTGCCTCCTCCACGGTCGCCTCCTTGGCCCAGCAGACGAGCAAAACAGCTGCAGGTTACAGCAACTGGAACAACAATCACACAACACTCAGCTCGCAGCCTTGGTGCGCGATCAGTGATCTTATGTACTTCTGTGACAAATACGAATTCAAGACTCTAAGCACACGTGACCTGAAGACTCATCAGGAGATTGTGGCGGAGGTGCGTGCCCTGCTCTCCGGCAAGGCGCCGTTCGATCAGCGCACTCGCTTCCCCGGCAATATTCACGATCCCGAGAATCTGTGGGTTTGCATTGGTCGCTGTGCGAGTGTCGAATATCATTTGCAGCGCATCATCAGCGTCTTCCGGAAGCCCCTTAATCAGCTGACGCCGGACAAACAGCGAACAGTGCGTCAGAATTTCCACCTGGCTGTAAGCGAGCTGCGTCTGGACATATCTGCACGCATTAGCGAGGTACGACTGTACGATAGGCTGGTATTTGAGCGAGAGTTTCGACTAGAATGGCAGGAGGAGGCCTAGCTAAGCTCTAGAGGTCTATAGAAGGTTAGGCGTGTCTTCAATTGGATAACAATTTATTAAAAATTTTCATTTTCAAATTTTGCTCATTTTTGGGTGCAAAAAATGGTACAAAAATACACGCAAGCATATAAGGAATATATATATAAATATATATGATACGAGCCTTAATACAGGACCTGGCAATAATTAGTGCTTGCATATTGCGTGGTGTAACTAAATCTACAACTCATTTAGATATATATCTTTATATACATAATTGGTATAAAATCGAAAAATAAAGCACTGTGGAAACTTTTACATTATGAAACTTTGCTCAAAAGATACGATATATATCTATATACATAATTGGTATCGAAATTAAAGCACTTGGTGGGCTATTAGAAAATATTATGAAACATTGCTCTGTGCTCTTTCTTATAAGTCTAGCGGAAGATTTAAAGATTATCGTACATAATGTATATATAACTTTTAGTTAAGATTACTTTTTGCGCCTGGGCAACTTGTGGGCTGACTTCAGTGGGTGGTTAACAACTTTGTGGCAACTACAATGCTTTAACAGTCTAGCAGAATTTCAGTTTCATTTTGCTGGTCTTTGGAACATTTCGTATAGTCAAGGAAATGCGAGCAGCTCGCCGCACTAGATGATCCCCGATCTTATACGTATTTTCGCAGAGATTATAATTGCAAATGCGGTCGCATAGCGTATCCTCGTTTATCTCACTAATCGCATGCATATAATCACTATAGAGCGTATCCTTTAAGATGAGCAAACTGCGCGGCTCCAGTAACAGCTTGAAGATTACCACACCGTTGGCCTCGCCCGTAGTCTCGCGCTTGGTGAACTCCAGCACCGTGTGTGCTCCACATGAAATGGTCGATATGATTGGATAGAAAAGCGGTCCGTCGGTGTGTGGAAGGATGCCTTGGCCAGGCAGGTATTCATTGACAAGTACATGGTTGGCCTTCTGCGACTCAAAGATTCCCAAATTGTTGACTTTATCCACATAGCTCTGGAGCCATTCGGGTATTTCTTCGGCTATCATGCCGTTTGGGTGGGGAACACCACCATAGTTCACTAACCGACGATTGAGCAACTGTGTCCAACGGGGCTTCGGTGTCCTCTCTATGTGACTTAGTATGGAACTCTCCTGATCGGAGGTAATGAAATTTGGAATGTACATGACTGTTGGCGGGCACTGAAACAATATTTTACTAGTAGTTAACTGGTAGACATATTTTGAGAGTTCTTGCCTACCTTGCGCACCTCAAAGTCTGTGAAATCCATATCTACGTGCTAAATAACTAATCTAAATTGCAATTATTGCAAATCAATATTTGTGTACCGTTGAACCGGTCATTTGGCCTTGGAGATGCGATTTTCTTGACAGCTGACAGCAAATGGTGGCGGCTCAGCGATAGGTCACCAATGCAACTCTTTAAGCACGATAAATTGTTATTCAGCATAATATTTAAACAAATATACATGTGTGAACGAAAAGGCAAAATAAAAATATTTTGGAAAAATTGAATTTGTATTTTGAATTCGTTTAATTTTATTTTGAGCATTATAACGTTTAAATACGCAACTTAACGAGTGATTGTAGCCCTGATTTCAATGTTTTCTGCGCTAATCAGCACTGTTAAAGCTGTGAGTTGTTTGTCGTCCATTTTGAGGAAATATTCCCGCGTTTTTATTACTTGAAGCTTACATAGCTGCGCGTCGTGTTAATTCAGTTATAAAGTAATTTATAGATGTCCTCGCCAAACGCTCAAGTTGATATACAAGCAGCTAAGAAAATGAAAATCGACAATAAATGCGTTTTGCGTTTCGCTAAGCTTACAGAGCACGCCGTGGCGCCCCAGCGTGGATCAGAACGAGCTGCCGGCTTTGATTTATGCAGCGCTTATGATGTGGTGGTACCAGCGCGTGGCAAGGCAGTGGTCAAAACAGATCTGCAGGTGCAGGTGCCAGAAGGCTCTTATGGTCGTGTGGCACCTCGCTCCGGCCTGGCCGTAAAGAACTTCATCGATGTAGGCGCCGGTGTTGTCGACGAGGATTATCGAGGCAATCTTGGTGTTGTCCTCTTCAATCATTCGGACACAAACTTCGAGGTAAAGCACGGTGATCGTATTGCCCAGTTTATTTGCGAACGCATATTCTATCCGGAATTGGAGGAATTGGACAAATTGGAAGATACCAAACGTGGAGAGGCAGGATTTGGTTCCACTGGCGTCAAGGAACTACCATCAGCCAAGCAGAAGAATGGCAGCGAGAAGGCGCCACTGGGCGAAAACGAAGCCAAGCCCATTGCCACATAGAGGAAACGTGATAAGCCAGCCAGCCAGATAGATTTACCATAAGATTCATATGCATTGTATTACAAACTAACATTAAAGTATCTAAGTCTAATGATTGTTCATTGAAATCCATCAAAAATATCTTTAAATAAAGCTCAATACTTTCTATATAAATAAAAGATTGTGAAAAATCGGATTGATTTCTGTTAAGTATCATAACATGTACGTTTATATTCTTTATATACCACATTCCTCAAATATTAAGCCTTACTTTGTAGGGGCTGCTGATTAGGCACAGACAAGACCTATGCAAATGTTATTCATGAGAATTACCTAAACTTATCATCAAAGGATATTGATATATGATATATATCTTTAATATTATGAACATTTATTTTGTATATAAATTGGAATATTGTAGTGAAATGTATAGGACTAAGCACTTGAATCGTTGAGATATACTAAGAATGTCAGACTTTATATCATCTTTTATTTCAGACATATTTCTCATTCTATATTCAATTCAGTTGTGAGTCTATAGCAACTATAACATATATTTATAAATATAAATATATCAACTGATCAATTACCTCAAAATATAAAAATGATTTAGTAACCCGCAAAGAAATATGTTTTGAAAAATGTATACCATAATACAATATTATTTTTTATTATATCATAGTACAATCAAAATAATTTATATACCATAGTATTGCCATAGAAGTCATATAGAAAAATACGAACTGTAAAAGCTGTATGTTCAGCTGAATTCATGAGCCTGCTTCATAGCTACCTATAACTAAGCAGCAGTAGAGCGCTTAACCATTTCAAGTGGAAACTATATATAAGACTAATTATACAGTTAGTTAAATGATGTTATATGCAAGTGCGAATATGCTGGCTCTATTCGCCGTTGCGGTTGGGTCAAGCAGCAGGGGCGAGCAATGCCCTGTGCCAGTTTGACGAGAGGCAGCGAGTTATGACCGACTGCAGACACAGTTGGTGTGCGTGCCACGAGTGCATTCGAGGTGCATATGCGGATTTCTTGCAGCGATTAAATTCAATGACTCCAATTCGTAATTAGACGTTGAAGTGAGGCTCGAATTGCAGTTAAAGCTGAAGCCAAAGCCGCAGCTAGAGCTCTCCAACTGCGTGCTTTTAATTGGTTGGGCAGTGCATCCTTGGTTGGCTTTTGGCGCAACGGTTACGCTTGACCCCCAAGCTGGAGGTCAGAGTAAGGGAGAGCGATAGAGAGAGAGAGAGAGAGGGATATAGAAAACGTTTGTTTTGCTTTGTATTTTTTGTTGTTTATAATTTATTTGCCGTGTGAAAAATAGCTAAGTATTTGTTTAAATATACAATATATACTCAAATATATATAAATATATATTTAGATATATGAATTTAATAAAAATAAATCAATTGTTTGTTTGTCTAAATGTAAACATAAATTTTAAGTAGACCGACGCCTAGTCAGTTGCCTATATATCAATCTATATATATCCATTTATAAGATGTAGCTAATGTAATATAATTAAATAAACAATATATACAATGCGTTTGTTGTTGTTTTTTTGTTGTTGTCTTCAAGTCTTGGAGCTCTTAAATTAATGCTGAATTTTGAATTCCAATGTGCAATGGCCGCAAAAATTAAAACAAAAGAAGAAAAAAAATAATGTAAACAACAAATATTTTGGGGCTTGTTTTAACAAATATTTAGAATATTATAATATTATATATAAAATAAATAGCCTTTTCTTTGCTAAAAATGGTTTAAGGAAATTGGGAAATTTTTAAATTGAAATTTCATTTAGTTTAAGTTCTCTGCTGAATGTTTTTAAATATTATAATAATAATTACTGACTAGCAGTTAATGAAGAAATTAAAAATAAAAATAAACTTAAATTTATAAATAAAAAATAATTGAAATAAATTAGAAATATAAGAAATGTTGTGCAACATTAAGTACATTGAAAATTGTTTAATAAAAAAACTCATTTAAATTGACTAAATTGCTTAATTGAATACATTAAAAAGTTATTGTTTACAATAATATTATTTATTATATTTAATTCATTTTTTACTTTTCTCTTTCTCTCATATGCAAATGGAAGACTTTTGCGATTCTTGCTGTTTGCAGTTGTCTTAAAAAGTTTTCAACTTTAGCTAGGCCTAATTCAAATTGTTATTAATATATAATATTTAATTTTAATATTAATTGTGTGTTTGTTTTTGTTTTTCTCTGTTTTCATTTGAAAGCTCATTTGGTACAACATTTGCAGTTGAAATGCAATTTATGTTAGCATTTATATATATATATATATATATTTTTGATATTTATATATATTTTAATTTATTTTTAATTTAATTCTGCTTTTAATTTCGATTTGTGACAGAAGGAAACTAGCTGGCAGCATCAATGTTGCTGTCGGCGGCATCAAAGCTGCAGCGCAACTTTGTTGCCGCAACAATGTTGCTGGTGCTAGGTCCATTGCAGCTAACGGGCATGCTGTTGCTGCTGCTGCTGCTGTTGCTGCTACTGTTGGACAAACTGCTGCAACTAGTTACAACATTTGTTGTTGTAGCTATTGCAGTTGTTGTTGCTCCTGTTGTTGTTGTTGCTGTTGCTCCTGTTGCTCCCGTTGCTGCTGCTGCCCCGCCCGTTTGCAATGCCAGCATTTGTTGCGCCAGCGCAACGCACGCAACACACGGACAGGGCCCGCCCAATTTCTTCGCCAATATGGAGCGCAGCTTCAGCGCTGGACCCAGCTTCATGCCCAGCGAGCTAACCAAATGTTCTTCGGTTAGCAGCGGCAAGCCCGTGCCATCAATGCTCTGCTCACGAAAGTGCTGCAAGCAGAAACAGACAAAGAGAGAGAGAGAGGAAGGAAGGAATTAGTTGCTAGCTTATAAAATTTATGCATGCAACATGCAGGGCGTGCGCATGTGTGTGTGTGTGATTAATGCGCTGCTTTTAAAATTGTTAATGAAAAACGATTTTTAGCTGCTGCTGCTGTTGCCCCCGGTGGAGATCGAGCGCAGTAGCATTTTCATATTTGCAGCGCACGACGCCAACAGCGATTGAAAGTGGGCAGCAAAGTTGCAAGTTGCAAGTTGCAAGTTTGCTGCTTGCCCCTCCACATGAGATTTCTATTATAGATTGGCCCTGATTGAATTCCATGGCCGTGGCCGCAACCTGTTTGCCACACAGCTGCCACAGAGCTGCCGGCTGCCAAATGAACTGCCACTGTGCAACAAGCGAAACAACAACGACTGCCCCTGTCCCTTCCGCTGCTGCTGCTGTTGCTTCTGCCCTCCATATACTGAAACAAATATGTGCAACGTGCCCTACCAAAGTTCACAATCAAATCTCATTTAACTTCTCAGACTTTATATCAATTATAAATTACTTTATAAACTGATCGAGCAGAGAAGACTTCGATGGGGCTCAGTCAAATGGGTTTAAATATATTCCGGATTTGGGTTTTTATTCTTCTTCTCCCATTATACTCAGAACCCATTGAAAATGTGAGAGCTCAGAGTAAAATAAGTAAGAAAAGAGGCAGGAGAAGGCGTGGCAGACAACATAAAGTATAGATGTATCCTTTATCAGGACGATCAGCTGATTCGATCTAGCTATCTTTGTCTGTTCGCCTGTTCGTCCATCCGACGAACAAGTACAGGTATCTCCAAGTCGGTCTCTCCTGACTAAAGCCTTTAAAATATTCAAAAGTTTTCTTTAGGGCCGAGTCTTCAATAAAAAACGTTTCTTGCTAACATTCAGATAAGAGTAGAGGTTTTTGAGACCAACCTCTTCATAAAGTAATAACATTAATAATAATAACATTTTTGTTATGTGTGCAAAGTGCAAATAGCATTGATTTTTGTGCAGTGTATCGTTTTATGGGGCCAATGTTTCACGGTGGTTTCGAGTTGGCGCTGTGGAGGACCCAGATCGAAATCGATTGGCGGCCAGGCAATGCGATTCGATGCACTGAACGGCCGTCATCTATATATAAGAGAGAAAACTGGGCGGCTGCTGTTTAGAGTCTGTTTAGGATCATGAGGACCCGGCTGAGCATACGCATACTGGCCCTTGGCCTGCTGCTCTGGCAACTGCAGGCCACCGCAGTGCGGGCCCAGAAGTACTACATGAACTTTGCGTTCAACAACAACAATCCGAACGGCGGGCTCGGTGACGAGACGAGCGAAGATCAAACGGATGACCCGTCGGATGGCGTCAGTGGTGATCACGACGGCTCTGGCGCTGATCATAACGGCGGTAGTGACAGTGGGGACAACGATCACAATAGTAGCAGCGGTGCTGGTGGTGGATCTGGTAGTGGATCTGATGATGGGTCTAGCGGTGGATCTGGCAGTGGATCTGACAGTGGATCTGGCGGTGGATCCAGTGCGAGTGGCGGCGGTAGGCCTGGTTCTGACAGCGGAACTAAAGCTGACGTTACAGCGGAACCATTTTTCATGGATAATGATGACGATGACAGCGATAGCCATGACATGGTGGATCGTCGCACCAAAATGAAGGAGGCGGAAGCTAATGGCAACAGACCGGAAAACGATCACAGCCATCACAGCAGCTACGAGATCAGTATCGACGATAGCTTCGGCGGGCGATATGTCCGCTCCATATACGAGAGCTCCGAGAGTCATGGCCATTCCGGCAGCAATCCGGACTCGGGACCACGTCAAACTAAGCAAGGTGAAAGCTCTGACGCGTCAGAATATTCGGGAAAGTTGTATAATGAAGACGACTATGAGGAAGACAACACGGATGAGAGCTAACTTGTCTAGGGTAATCACTCTGCCTCCCTCTTCAGGCCCCTCTCTATTGCAACGTTCCTCTACTGCTAACATTTCTCTCTCATGCAGATCCTCTAACGGGAATCCACAGCCCAATGACTTTACAATTAATGAATTTTTGCCCAATAAAAATTGTCTTAATTAATAAAGGATATGTGTTAAAATCGTTGTGTTTCCCATACAGATTTCAATCAAGACTAATTCAAGCTCCAATTGTTTGCTTGCCTAGGCCAATATAATTTTTGGCAGTCTAACTCTGCTTTATGTTGGCTGATTACAGAAAGTAAAATAAGTTTATATCCTACTCGTGTACAGTTCAACTACAAGTTGAGTAGGGTTTAGTACCCGAGGCTTTACATATGTTCTAGCACTGCAAGGAAGTATTAAATTGTAACTGACAATATTAGTGCACGTCAATTAAAGTAAAGGGTATCAAGAAGGGAACATTCTCTTCTCTGGCAAGCCTGCAGCTATTAATTGATTGCCCTTTGGCTATCAGTTCTCATATGTTCGGTCGCAGTTTCTTATTAACTTCAACTGTGCATTGGCGTCGTTCGATTACTGGGCTTCGGATATCCCCGCATGAGTTCTAGTTGATCATGTCTATTAAGGTTCGATTGCCATGCAATGCAAATCGAATAAAGTTTTATGGGTCATAAATGACGGAGTGATATCATAATCAGCGCAGTGTTAAACGCATTGGTTGCAGTCGGGAACCGAGTCTATAAAGAGAACCCCCGGCTGAGGCGTGTCCATCAGTGTTCCCTTGGTGGTCATCAGTAGTAGTAATGCTGCTCTGTTACCTGTGGACAGTTATGTTGCCCCTGGCGGTGCTTGGTCAAACGTACTATATTAATTTTGTATTCAACAACTTTCGGAATCCACAACAGCCCAATGGCAACGATGAGAGCGGCACAGTTGAAATAGGCTCATCAGATAACCAGCAAAGAATCGCTAAGCAGGCGCAGACCGCTCCGAGGGTAAGTACAGAAGATGAGATACCTGATCCAAAAGAAAATGGTTCTGATCCTGAAAACAGCAACGAAGTTGCCGAAGGTAAACAATGATTTACCTATGCCTTCACATAATTCACATATAAAAGTTTTGCCTATTCCCAAGGAAGAAACTGGGACAACCAAAACAACCATCATAACTAATGGAGCCTGCAAAGATGAAAAATGCAGTAATAAAAAAGGCAGTATTGAAACGGGATGCAATGAAGCAGGCAATAGTGAAACGGGCTGTAATGGAAAAGGCAGTGATGGAACATGCGATAATGAAACTGGCAATGGTGAAACGGGCTGTGATGGAACATGCGATAATGAAACAGGCAATGGTGAAACAGGATGTGATGGAACAGGTGGTGATGGAACAGGTGATGATGGAACAGGCAGTGATGGAACAGATAGTGATGGAACAGGAGATGATGGAACAGGTGATAATGGAACAGGTAGTGATGGAACTGGTGGAGATGAAACAGGTGACGATGGAACAGCCAGTAATGAAATAGGTGGTGATGGAACAAGTGATGATGGAACAGGTGGTAATGGAACAGGCAATGATGGAACAGGTGATGATGGAACAGGTGATAATGGAACAGGTAGTGATGGAACTGGTGGAGATGAAACAGGTGATGATGGAACAGCCAGTAATGAAACAGGTGGTGATGGAACAGGCAATGATGGAACAGGTGATAATGGAACAGGTAGTGATGGAACTGGTGGAGATGAAACAGGTGATGATGGAACAGCCAGTAATGAAACGGGTGGAGATGAAACAGGTGATGATGGAACAGCCAGTAATGAATCATTCGGTGATGGAACAGACAGTAATGAAGCAGATGGTAATGGAACAAGTGATGATGGAACCGGTGGTAATGGAACAGGCAGTGATGGAACAGGTGGTGATGGAACGGGTAGTGATGGAACAGGCATTGACGGGACAGGTGATAATGGAACAGGTGGAGATGGAACAGGTGATGATGGAACAGGAGCGGATGGAACAGGCAGTAATGGAACAGGTGATGATGGAACAGGAGCGGATGGAACAGGCAGTAATGGAACAGGTGATGATGGAACAGGTGGTGATGGAACGGGCAGTGATGGAACAGGTGGTGATGGAACAAGTGATGATGGAACAGGTGGTGATGGAACAGGTGATAATGGCAATGCAACGGGTGGTGATAATACGACATCAACCATTCCGACGCCGACAACCGCTGATTGGTTAAAGCCAACGCCGCATCCACCCAAATTTTTCGATTATCCGGAAGCCGAATGTAAGGAGGATATGCAATTACATGAGGTCTTTGGCATTACACTAGCTCGGGATCGCGGGCTACCAGTCAAAATTTTGTGTGAGTTCCACAATAGCTGGGGCGGTCCTTGGCTGCTAATGAATCGAATGGAGCTGCCAACTCGCCTGCACTTTAGGCATTGGATATTTGGCTATCTCACGGAAGACTACAAAGATTTGAATATTAATTTTTTATCCTTGGCTCACATAATAAACACAATGCGCCTGGCTATGCTAATAATTGGCCAGAATAACAACAAACAGCCGGTCTATAATCTATACGATGACGTTGTTATATCAGGCTTCAATGACCTCTTCATGCTGCGCAAGGCTCATCTTGTCGAGGCGAACACCTCGGATTTGCTGTACTTTTCAGTGGGTGAGGTGATTGTACTGGATTCGGGCAGAAATCGTTCGTGCCCCTTTCGAGTGTTGGGCGGATGGTGGGGTGCCAAGATAGAAAGCTCATCGAACGCCCCTTGGTAAGGCTAAACCTCTTTTAACAATATTATTATTTTCCCACACCAATTTTTAATTTCTACAGTGTTTTTCCTGTGGACCGTGATGTAAAGCAACCCGGTTATGTGGCCATATTTATCAAGCCTAATCCTTTTAAGGTCAACAATACTGCTTTTTATCAGACAGAAATTACCACACGCCGTCCTTGGGCCGCTACAGTAGACTTGGAGTTGATGCAACAAGCAAACAACAATATATCCGTTTATGAGAAACTTAAGCTGGCAAAGTTCCTTTTGAATAAGAAGCTAGTTAAAGAAGAGTCCGAGCGACGTGCAAGGATATACGAGTCGAAGCTATTCGGACAGCCGACTGGTATGCAACTGAGAACCTTGACGACCACAGATCCACATATGACAAAAACGTAACAGCCCTCACACATTAAACTTCCATGATTAGATTAAGATTGGAAAACTGCTAAAAAAAAAAACTGACTTCTCGTGGGCAAAACTTTAAGTTTCAAGACTCAATAGTTTATTATTTTTAATTAATTAATTTAAGTGATCTAAGCCTAAGATTAATTTAAGTGTATTAACAACAAATACAACTATGAATTTTGCTTTCAGTTTCGAAATAGTTTTTGGAGAGGTAAAGACCGCTTGATACTCGTTATCGATCGAAAACCAGGTGCAAAATCAATATTTTCTGACTTATCATGACCCAATTCATTCATAAAACACTACTATTTTGTACATCATTTAGTTTAATCGTTAATAGGGGATTTTCATATGCCAGAAAAACAAATCAAGTTCTTAAAAAACGATGCAATCTTATGGAATTCGAAATAATTCTCAGTAGGCATTATATCAGCATTTCCGAGTATAACAAATTTATCTGAGCTACGTAGCTAACTGAGGTAGAATTAGATAAAAGAAAACTTCAATGAATTCATACCGGAAATTGGTGGCTTTTTGTATGAGTTGGTTTGAGACTTAGCATTGAATTTGGACTCTTGACTGTCATAACAAGAACAATAACAATAATATCAAGGCATTGATTTGGTGTCTTTGTGGTTACCAACTATATTTTTTGCGTTCTAAATTTTGTTCTACCAATAATTGACAAGGCAGCACCACAGCAACAACAATAGAAGAGCAACAACAACAGCGACGACAGCAACAAATGCTGACTTTAACTAGCCGGCAAGTTAACCATAACAATACCATCGAAAACAGATTTGAATGTGCGACTTGGTCTTGACTTTGAACTCCAATTCAAATTCCGACTTCGACAACAATTCCAACTCGAACTCAAGCTACAATTCCAATTGCCATGTGTGCAGTTGCAGTTGCAGTTGCAGTTGGCAGTCCAGCTTAGCTGCACGCAATGTAATTGGACTCTTTCTCTGGCAACGAGGGCAATTTACAAACCAACAAAAAATATGGAAATATGCAAATCATTTTGGAGCATCAAACAAAAGGCCAACGAAATGCAACTGTGCGGCATGTTGTTAGCGTTAGAAATGAGACGGACTCGACTAATAGATACCCTGGAAGCAGTTGATACAGCTAAAAAAGACCCCAGTTGGAACAAGATTTGACTTTTAAGCTCTGCTTCACAGTTTTGCTTGAATTTGAAAACTATCAATATGACAGTAATTTTATAATATAAATAAATAAATATGTCAATTTAATGTTGCCAGAGCGCTGAAGTGGGAGCCTCCTCAACAACCCTCACTGCTATTTCATCTAAAGAGCCCACAAATTAAATAATTAAAAACAATTTTAAATATATTTTATATTTCCAAGCTTTTAATAGCGCACTAAATATCGTATATAAATTTGATATCAAATAGTTTGGCTGACAGATAAACCAGTAAATATGTCTGAAATGCTAATTTTGTTGTGACTGGCAAAATAAAAACCAAATATCGACGATTAGTGTGTTTTATAATAAATTAAAACGTTTACCATTTGAAAGTTTTCAACAAATGACTGAACAAAAAAGAATGGATGAGGGTAAAAAATACTACACAATAGATAAATGAGTTGGAATTCCTCAAATTTCGATTAGGTTTATGACACTGGTTTTTATAGTCCAAGCTAATCCCTAAGCCTCGACTTTGCATTAGATTAATACGCTGCCTACAACTTTTCAATCCAGTCAAGTTTATAGTTCAAGTTTTGACACTGAAACAGCAACAGAAATCACTTTGATGAAAAAGCTTGTGAACTCTTGATTGGATTCGGTTGTTAAAGAAGTCGTAAAAAATATTTGTCGGTATTCCTCAAAATTTATGAGATTTCAAGTTTTTCTTTTTATTTTTCTGTTTTTTTTTTGTTTTTTCTTTGATTTTGTAAAAATAGTTTTTTGGCGCACTTTATAGATCGATAAAGAACGCATTTTAGCCAAATAAAGACATTTTGTTGCTCAATATTTACATAGAACTGGCCACTTTGGGAGCTCATAAAAAGCAACTTTTGTTTTAATTTTCAGTCTCTAAAAAGCCCATCAAAATACCAAGAAGAAAGAATATCTAAAATATATATATAATATACATATATATGAATGAATGTATGAATGAATAGCCTGTCCGTGCGCAAGTCAAAAGTCGAGTTCAGATCCTGCTCATGCGTCAAATTGAAACGTGCCGCTTTGCCATTGGGGGACCCTTTTCATACGAGCCAGCCGCAAAGGAGGCAGCCGAAGTCAAGTCGGGTGGGTATATGCGACTGCATAATGCTCGCTTAAGATATATTGGATTGTCGATTTTATTGACAGCTAAGCTTTGATTTGATCTTAAAATAAGTTCTTTATGAGCTTTGCAGCAGCTACCAAAAGTCAAGTTAGACGAGCATAGGCGACTGCATAATGCTCGCTTGCAGCCCAAAAGAGATTGGCTTGCAAGTTCTATTGAGAGTTAAGCTTTGGTTTGATCTGGTTTTTGATCTTTTTCAGTCGAGCTTCAGTTTATGGAATGCTAATATACTTTTGTTTCAATTACTTAGCGAGCATAATAAAACACTAAAATATACACAAGGGCGCACTAATAAGCGGCTACAAAAGTGCTTCTGGCTGCTTCTGGTCATCGATTGCTGTCTCGCTCTCTCCCATTCTATCTCTGTTGCTCTGCGGCAAGTGTTGTTGTTGCTGTCGAAATACATTTTAATTTGAGCGGGGCAACACACACACGCACACTCTCGCACACTATCAAAAATGAATTTCAAGCTGCAGTCCGGGCTCAATTGTATTTCTGCGCTCAATTTAGTTGTACGGATTTTGACCTGCTTAACCTTAAAGCCAGAGCCACAGCAACAACTTTAAATGTACCACCAACAGCAGCAGCAGCGGCGGCGGCAGCAGCAGCAGCAGCAACATCAACAACAAGGGGCACAAGCGAAGACAACAATTTGAATTCTAAATTGAACAGCTTTTTGTGCTACCTATGCCCGGGAGCAGTCCAGCAGTCGAGGAACGTGGGCCGACCTGCTGCCAAGACAGAGGCCTGTTGCTGTTGTTGTTGCTGTTGCTGTTGCTGCTGTGGCAATTGCGCCCAACTACCTACTCATTGTAATTCTTCATGTCTGGCCAAAAGCGACTCGACTGCGGCTTCGAGTTCGACCTGATTGCCGTCAGCAGCAGCGGCAGCAACAGCCAGCCAAAGGTTGTTGATGGGCCACGGCAACTGTTGCTGTTGCTGTAGCTGCTGCTGCTGTCCAGTTGTTTGTTGGCTCGATCTGCCCACCTAAAAAGTTGACTTGTTTGGCTACACTCCACTTGTGACTTTGGCTTTGATTTTGGGTAGCTACCAAGTACGAGTATTTAATGATTTTGTATTTTTTTGCCTTTGCTGTTGCTGCTGCTGCTGCTGCTGTTGGTCTTGCTGACTGGGTGAGTGGCTGACTGGCTGACTGGCTGACCGGAGCAACCAACAATTACGCTTAATGCCAAACATCCTCTGCTGCGGTGGCTGTGGTTTGATCTTGTTACGCATTCAGGCAATACTAGGTGGGCTTCCACTAACCCCACCTACCTTTCCCGCCAACTCACACACTCGCACACACATACACAGGCCACGTTGCAAGAATAGCAACAACAGCAATTGCTTGGGCACGTGCACTAGCCGAAAGGTGTTGGAAATTGCTTGAACTGTGGAATTTAGACCAAGCTTAGTTTCGGCTCTTGATTGATTCTAACAATCAGGCAACGCTTCGCGCTGCCTTAAACAAAAAGCTCGCTTATTCTATTAGATAGTTTAGTAAATTACACAAAACGCCGCCTCAAAGGCCCATCAAATTTTACTACTGCCTGGCCGAGTGTCTGAGCCAGCGTCGGCGTCGGATTCGGGATTTCTGTCTGGGTTTTTTGGTAATAATTAAGATTTCTTGCTCTCTTGCTTTTCACAGCTACCGCCGCGAGCATAATGAAGTCGTGCTACAGTGGTTGGCAAATAATATCGATAACTGTGCAATTTCGATTAGTATTTGTATAATATTGAATATTCTGACCAGATATTAAGTCTAATATACGTATACATATTACCGAAGCATATTTAAATTAGTAATCGATAATATATCGCTGCTATATAAGCTTCTGGTAAGCATTAATATTCCTAATTGAGCTATATAATAGAGGTATAAAATATAATTTAAATTTTCTTATATTAGTTAAATAATCAATGAGTTATTGATATACAGCATACAATTTTCGGCTTTTAGACATATATAATTAAAAATTGATATTTCAATATGCACTCGTAGCACTTGACCCACTGTGCAATCACGAGCAGCCTTATATTATATCTGGAGGTCAAAATATTAGCAAATTTGATGTGACCCAAGCGGACAGCCGCAAACAAAAGGCTGCCAACTGCAGCAACAAGCCAGAGGATGAGAGGGAAGTAACGCGGAGACCCTCGAAGAACCTCAAAGACCCTTGAAGACCCTCGACTACAGAGCGCTGTTAATTTTCTTTGGCAGCAACCCATTGGTGCTGGAGTTCGAGTCGAGTGGGGCACATAATCAGTTTATTTTACCTTTTGTTTTGTTTCTGCTCTTTTCTGATCCTAAGGAAGAGGCTAAAAGAGAAGCTGCTGCAGCAGCAGAAAGTGCCCCGGGTTACACGCCAAAGATACAATTTTAGATTATATGCCCCAACTGTGCGCATGCGCATAATAATAATGCATGCAACGAGCTGCGAGCTCCGAACTGCAGCAACGTGTTGCAGGGGCAGCTACAGCAGCCAATTGGCAAAGGCTCAGCTCAGGCCGGCTTCCTGTTTGCTTTTTCAAGGGGGGCGCAGTGGCGCACACAAAAAAAGGCGTGCAAGTGGGTATAATCATCATCAGCTTTGATAACACACCACGAGCGACGTTGCAGTCAACGTCGCCGTCGACGCTGACGCCGCTGCCGACCTGCCTGGACTTGTGGCCCGGCACTGATTTTTTTTGTTTTTTTTTCTCAAATCCGGCAACGCGGGTTCCCGAAGTCGAACTCGAACCATGATCTCTGCTGCTTGG